TTTGAGCTTGTCAACATCAAAAACGCAGCAATTCTGCGAGAATTCCTTGATTTTCGAACTTGAAAAAGACAAAAACGAAGCAAGCCTGCGAGACATCTCCAGTTTTCAAGGTTGACAACATCAAAAACGAAGCAATTCGCTGAGACTTCCTTCAAAAATAGAAAGTTGAGTGCAGAGCCGACGGCCTCGTATTAATGCGTTTTGCAATTTTCCCATTCCATTTGTCTGAAGTATTGCGCCTGCCACGAAAAGTGAGGCCACGTCATACTCTTAGCAAACCTGAAGATCTGACGCTCTAAAATGCAACCCTCTCAGGAAATCAGGGCCCAGACCTCCTAACAGTCCTAACATGTCTGACTCATGTGTCTCTTGTACGCCGCCTGCCACGCAAAAAAAAGCTTTGCAGATCCTCTTCAAATGCCCCACGCTTGCCAACGCCTTTGAAACTGCCACAGAACCTTCACGTTTTGCTCACTTGTGGGGAGGTGCAGAATTTCTGGCGCCTGCCACGCAAAACCACATCTCAACATTTTCTCAACTTCCAAAAGTGCTCCAAACCTGACAATTTTTAACACTTTTGACTTCAAAATGTGCTTCGCGCCACAATGGCGTGTGCTTTTTCAACAGCTCAACTTCCAAAAGTGTTCCGGGAATGGTGTGCCTTTACCATTTGGACTTCCAAACGTGCTTCCCGCTAGAGCGGTGTGCACTTTTTCAACATCTCAACTTCCAAAAGTGATCCGAACCTGACAGTTTTTCACAGTGTTGACTTCGAAACGTGCTTCCTGCCACAATGGCGTGCACTTTTTCAACAGCTCAACTTCCAAAAGTGCTCCGAGAACGGTGTGTTTTTTGCTTCTCGACCTTCCTGAGCCCCAAAACCTTGGGAAAACACAGTGTTTTGCCACTTTTTTCCTTTACGTGCACATGCATCTTCTTTCTTCTGACTCTTTCTCTTCTCTGATCTTCTTCCTTCTGCTTTTCTCTTCTCTGTCTCTTCCCACCTCTTCTTTTCATCTGTCCATTTTTCCGGAAGTTTGACTTCTAAACCTTCGATAAGCAGCGTATTTGATTTCCCTTGGAGATTGATGGTGATGCTTTCGGGTGCCAATGAGGGAGTATGTTCAATATCATGGGGAAGAATGGGTCGCTTTCAAACAACCAGATTTTTCTGAGAAGAGCTCGTTTTTCCCGATTTTTCCCGAAAGGAAATCCACCGTCAATAAAGGGGGATCCACGGAAAAACGTTCACCAGAAACGGGGAATCCACACTCCGATGTGCATCTCATTTACTTAGTTGGAAACAACCATATGAAAGAACCAATTTACAGTATATTATACAGCCCCATTCTATGGTCCCAAATAGAAAGTTTCATCCCCTACTAAACCATTATTTCTTGGAAGTGTTTAGCGTTTCTTGGGTGGATGGGGTTATGAACAGTACCAGAGCCATGAATAGCCATGGATCTGACCATGTAGATCCATGTAGTATCCGAATTAGCGGCCCAGATTCCTCACGAACACCGTGACCATAGCCTACCTTTCGACCTGTGGGACGCTACAAGGAGAGAATTATTGGCTGAGATTGGAACCGTTTCTTAATCATATAGATATTATCATGGTTTTGGTTAAAATCATGATCGCAGAACCTTATCATTAATGTCATTGCTCTGGTGATTGGTAGGATGCAGCTTTCGAAGTGAATACGAGATGCATACCCTTTGGTGTCATCAAACATAGCTGGTAAACCCCGAAACTAAATGGATGTTTATAACTTGGAAAATTGATCGAACTGAATGATGGTCCTATTGTCTGGTTCTACAAAACAGTTTGCGAACGGGAAGCCATGGCCCATTTTGTCCAATGATGTCTCTCGTTCTACACTTTACACATGGTGATTTGTTACAACAATATGTTAGATTACGGAAGGATATACGGCACCAACTTGCTGAGTCTGGTTGTTTGCTTTTTTCTATTTTGATGATTCGTTTTGGATGCGCCCTCCATGTTTAGCATGGAACCGAAAAAAAGGCTCTATTCACTAGCAAAATCATGTTCCAGAGCCAGTGCATAGGATTCCTGGCATACTTTCGGCTGCTTAGTTTTGACAATGAACAACATCAGAGCCATCGATACCGGGTTTCGGTCTTAAGATGGTCAAAGGAAACATCTATCTGAGAGCTATCCACTGGTACATACATGCATGCTGCATACAAAAGTAGATAAATTGATGGAAATAGATGCATAGATTATCCCGGCAAGAGACCCCCAACAGTGTGGGAGAAGTAAAAGGAGAATGTCTTCTCATGTTGATGATGTTGTTACTGTTGATGATGATGACGATGATGATGATGATGATGTTGATGATGATGATGTTGTTGTTGATGATGATGATGAGGGTGATGAAGATGATGATGGTGGTGGTGATGATGATGATGATGATGATGATGATGATGGCAGTGATGGTGATGATGATGAGGAGGAGGATGGTGATGATGATGATGATGGTGATGATAATGACGATGACGATGATGACGAAATGACGATGACGGCGATGATGATAATGATGATGACGATGATGATGATGATGATGATGATGAGAAGAAGGTGATGATGTGAATGTTGAGGAGGAGGAGGAAGATGATGATGTTGAGGAGGAAGACCGATCCCAAGACCAGGAAGCAGATGGACATGTAGCAAGGGGCATGTTGTGCGGAAATTTACACAGAAAATGTCGTACGCGTATCCCGCGGCAAGCATTTTGTGCGAGCCCGATCCCAAGACCAGGAAGCAGATGGACATGTAGCAAGGGGCATGTTGTGCGGAAATTTACACAGAAAATGTCGTACGCGTATCCCGCGGCAAGCATTTTGTGCGAGCCTGCGCAGTCGAAATGCCCATGGACATGTCACAAGTGTGGCATTTTGTGCGGAAATTAAGAGGGAAAATGCCGTACCCGTATCCCGCGGCAAGCATTTTGTGCGGACCTGCGCAGTCGAAATGCCCATGGACATGTAACAAGTGGCATTTTGTGCGGAAATTAACAGGGGGTTGCCGTACGCGTATCCCGCAGCAAGCATTTTGTGCGAGCCTGCGCAGTCGAAATGCACATGGACAGGTCACAAGAAGCATTTTGTGCAGAAATGAACAGGGAAAATGCCGGACTTGTGCGAGCCTGCGCAGCCTAAATGCGATGATTTTGTGCGGAAATTAACAGGGAAAATGTCGGGCGCTACCGATACCACCTCGATTGAACACCGGGCCTTAACTCTTTCCGTAAGAACCCCTCAGTGTGGCCACACTGCTTGGGGAAAAACAGTGATGAGGAGACCAACAGGCATGAGAATCATCACGATGATAAAGATACACAAAGAAATTTAGATGATAGACTTCCAAGAAAATACCGGGAGTCAACCACCATTGCGTTGTGCGGATCGCCCCCGGTGGTTTGCAGCCATTTTCTTCATGGCCATGTAAATAAATACACACACGCACACACACACACATATATATACACGTATGTATTAATACGTGCAATATATGTATATTGTATAGATGCATGTGCATGTCCAGGAAGGCTTTCCATGTTGGGGAAGGGACACGGTGGCAAAGTTAATGAAGGAAAGAGTGAAGGGCGAGGTTAAATTCAGTTAAATTTCAGCCCTGGCATTGAAAATACAAAGTGAAGTCAATAAATTTTATACACACTCACACCTTCCAGCGGCCTGCGCATATTTACATATACGGATTAAGAACCCCACCCTCTAGGTCAGGAAGGTAAACAAGATTTTTGGATGCATTTTCTGAACTATTCCGAAGTAATAAACTTTACATCATTGAATGAAAAGAAGGAAAAGTGGAAAACGAAACAGCAAAGCACACAAGGCTGAGGAAGGCTTTGCTGCTTCAGGGCGCTTAATTTTAATGATGGGGGAACATCGCTCATGGGGGTGAGTACCCTGTCTAAGCTTCCAAAATTATCATTTTTGTGCCAAAAGGTAAAGAAAAAGAGATTAATCATTTTGCGGAGAATCTTTAAACATATTTTTAGTCAAGCAAACTATGAAGAATTACGTAAATATTTTCCACCAATTGTGGAAATTATGACAAGTATCGAAGGAAGCTTAGAAGTCAAACTTCTGACAGTGTGGACAGATGAAAAGCAGAGGTGGGAAGAGCCAGGTAAGAGAAAGGCAGAAGAAAGAAGCTCAGAGAAGAGAAAGAGCCAGAAGAAAGCAGATACAGGTGTGCGAAAAAGTAGAAAAGCCGCAGAACGCTTTGTTTTCCCAATGCTTTGGGGCTCAGAAAGTAGGCTCGCCAGGTGAGAGATGAAAAATTGCACGCCACGTTTAGAAGTCAAAACTGTGAAAAACTGTCAGGTTCGGGGCACTTTTGGAAGTTGAGATGTCGAAAAAAAGCACGCCTTTGTGGCGGGAAGCACATTTGGAAGTCAAAATGGTAAAAGCACACCGTTCTCGGAGCACTTTTGGAAGTTGAGCTGTTGAAAAAGTGCACGCCATTGTGGCCGGAAGCACGTTTCGAAGTCAAAACTGTGAAAAGCTGTCAGGTTCGGATCGCTTTTGGAAGTTGAGATGTCGAAAAAATGCACGCCATTGTGGCCGGAAGCACATTTGGAAGTCAAAATGGTAAAAGCACCGTTCTCGGAGCACTTTTGGAAGTTGAGCTGTTGAAAAAGTGCACGCCATTGTGGCTGGAAGCACATTTCGAAGTCAAAGCTGTGAAAAACTGTCAGGTTCGGAAACCTTTTGGAAGTTGAGATGTCGAAAAGCACGCCGTTGTGGAAGCCAAAATGGTAACAACACGCCATTCTTGGAGCACTTTTCGGAAGTTGAGCTGTTGAAAAAGTGCACGCCACTGTGGCGGGAAGCACGGTTCGAAGTCAAAGCTGTGAAAAACTGTCAGGTTCGGAATCCTTTTGGAAGTTGAGATGTCGAAAAAGTGCACGACGTTGTGGCCTGAAGCATTTTCAAGTCGAAAGTGTTAAAAACTGTCAGGTTTGGAGCGCTTTTGGAAGTTGAGAAAATGTTGAGATGTGGTTTTGCCTGGCAGGCGCAAGGGATTCGGTTTTGTAGCAGTTTCAAAAGTGTTGGCAAGCGTGGGGCATTTGAAGAGGATCTGCAAAGATTTTTTTGCGTGGCAGGCGGTGTACAAGAGACAGATGAGTCAGACATGTTGGGACTGTTAGGAGGTCTGGGCCCTGATTTACTGAGAGGGTTGCATTTTAGAGCGTCAGATCTTCAGGTTTGCTAAGATGATTTTGCGTGACGGGTGGGACACTTCATATGACCTGGCCTCACTTTCGTGGCAGGCGCACAAACGCATCGGCACAGATGGAATGAAAAATCGCAGACAGATGGAATGAAAAATCGCAAAGCGCATCGGCACGAGCAGAATTGCTTCGTTTTTGATGTTGTCACCTTCGAAAAATGAGGACGTCTCGCAGAATTTCTTCGTTTTTGACGTTGTGAAGCGCAAAAATTGAGGAAGTCTCGATGAATTGCTGCGTTTTTGACGTTGTCAAGCTCAAAACTTGAGGAAGCTTCGCATAATTGCTGGGTTTTTGATGTTGCCAGTTTAAAAAAGTAGGGAAGTCTTGCAGATTTGCTTCGTTTTTGATAGGTAGAAAGGTAGACGGATAGATAGACATACAGATAGATAGACAGATAGAAAGAAAGATAGGTAGATAGATAGATAGATCGATAGATAGATAAAGAGCTTGACACTCCAACCACCCTTCGAATAAATCCACTTGATTGATTTCAGTATTGCCTCAAAATCAGGAGGGATACAGGCCTTCTAATCGAAGGGGATTATTAATCTTAACTCGGCATTACACAAATTAGGCGATTGATTACATATATATATATAAATAGATGTATGTGCATATATATATATATATACACGTGCGTATATGCCCATAAATACACACAAACCAATATTGTCCATGTGTATATCACCGCCCGTAATTTTCAAAAAGAGGAGTTTTCTGACGGTGGTCCACAGCATGAAGGGGGAAGAGATTGCCGCCTGTTGAGCACATAGTCCAAGCGTTGCAAGAGAAAACCTGCCGCCTGGTGGAGTTGGCAACGAAATCTCGGCAAGGTGGCGCCTTCAGATTGTTTGCCATTTTTTTGTCGGCTCGTGGGATTATAGCTATACAATTATATATATATAGTGTTATATAGTTCCGGGCAGGTAGAGGCAATGTCGATTTATAACCAAAGTTCTAATCCATTTGCGATTCCTTGGGTGAACCGCCAAATAGTCGCAATGTTAATGATAAAAAACATCATAGTCATCGCCAGGTCAAGGCGTTGGATTATGCAACTTTCAATTCTCTGGAAAAAATGTTTGGGTGACAAGGGATAGGGATGCTTATCACATTTAATCCCCGGGTTGGGCAGACAACAATCTCACAAAAAGAGTCAATACCTGTGAGACACTATCGGTTGACCTTTTTCCTAGACGTCCAACATCCCTCCGGCATCATCGAAGCCGACTGGCTGAGAAATTGTCAAGCGGAATGAGCATTCAAATGGAAAAAATGTAACAGTAAATGACAGGTTTGCGCGTTTTTTTTGGAGAGAAAAGACAACGAAGGTGGAAAAAACTTGTGGACATGATCTTGGAATACCAGAAAAACATTCACTGTGGTTGTGAAGTCCAAGAGCTGCAATCGATTCTGGGCGCTCTGCTTGCAGGGTATCCTGAAACCTTGAAACAGGGAAGCAAGGAACCCGAGCTGGTGAGGAATGGCGAGGCGTGTTTTTTCTGCCAAATCAGCCGGTCATTTCGAAATTTCAATTGAAAGCGTTTGATATGTGTGAATCTGTGTGTTTCTTCTACTGGGGATTTAATTGGATGTAATGGGCATATCGGGTTGAAAGGGTGCATGACTGGATAACCAACTAAAGTGGATGGATCGTATAAAGCTAACGCCAATGGGAATGTCATGCGATAATGATGTTTCTTGGCATCCCATCTTTTGATTCTACGTTGGCCTTTGGAATCTTTCAATTCTTGAGTCCCAGCATTGTTCCTCCCATTTGATTCGTCACCGTCACTTCGGTTCGTGGCAACCTTTTCTGCTGTGTTTGTCAGGTGTCAGACGAGGAACTGAAGACATGTTTGAAGAGCCTCCTTAGACGCGAAGACTTTTCTGTCCCCTGGGATCTACCTGGCTCACCGGCCAAGGCGGCAGCTCTTGCCACATCTGGAGCAGTTGCCAGGAGGTCTAGAGCTGAAAGACGTGAAGACAGTCAGGATCTGGACTTGGTCAACGCAACAGTTGCTGAATTGTTGGAAAAACTTCAGGTCAAGTTGCGTGGGGAACAACAAGGAAATAAAGAGCCCTCTGCGAGATTCCTTCTGGAAGATGAAATTCCACACCTGCAAGATCTATTGACTTTGTGCGAAGATTTTATTCGATGGCAACGTTTCGTGTCGCATAGGAATGGTGAAAATCCGGAACTGCCGGAACCCTTTTGCAGCTTCCAACACTTTCCTGCTCACGTGAGACAGGTCTTGCAGAAAGTGGATTCCACAGGTTTCGAAGAGATGCCAGAGATTCCACAGCAACGTGGACTTGCCAAGTCATGCGATTTTACTTTTAAAAATGCGTACTTGTTTTGGAGATGGCTAGGGTCTCATGCATTTCAAAGTTTCCATCACCACGTCTCAGAAATATGTTCGGATAGAAAGACATCCCTGGAAATTCCAATCCGTTGACTGCGATTGACCAAGCAATAATTTTTAGGAGCCTAAAATTGTGCAAATCTCAGGAAATAAGCCCAATATTCTTATCAAAGTTTTACTGGGCAAAGCGGTTGGCAGATTTTTTGCTCAGATCCACCAAGAAATCGCTCTAAGGAGATGGGCCGATGTGCTTTTTGAATGCTTGAAACCTCTTCAGGTGTCATTTGATGCTGAGCCCTTCTCAGATTTGCTGGAGGACCTACAGAAGGAGCAACCTTCAAACACTGGCAACTGGAGAGGTGAAGTATTTGCACGTCAGGCGCCTGATCTGATTAACAACGACGCTTCAGATGAGGACTGGGTTGAATGTTGGTGCAATTTTAAGGGGTTCATTTTTTTTTGCAAAAACATGGTGAGTATACATTCTATATATGTATATACACAGAACTACTTATGTATGTGATTCCATGCCTGTTCAAGATATTGTAAGATGCTATTTAAGATTTGATATGTGATGTGTGTGTATAATTGTGTATATATATATGTATTGCGGGATGTCTATTTTCATTTGATATGACAAATGTATCATGTACTTGTAGGCTCATTTGCATACATCCAGCCAACAGGCTAACAGGCATGTTATGTTCCTCAGAGTTTCAAAATTTGAGGACGACTGGCAACGTGCTCTTAGATCTGCAAACCTTTTCAAGTTCACCAGCCGACGTGCAGAGCATGTCCATGAGTGGAACGAAACGTCCACGGGGAAACTGGACCCCAGCGCTTTTGGCTACCCACAGGATGCCCACATGACCTGCAACAACAGAATTGCGCTGATGAGGCGTCTTTTGAAGTCTGACTCAGAAGAAGAAAATGAAGAAGGTCATGATCGCATCGATGATGAAGAATAATCTCCAAAGATGAGTTTCAAAGTTGAAGCTGCTGAAACCATGGATGCTGCCGAAAGCCCAGAGGATATGATCCCGCTTCCACAAGCGAAGATGGAGTTGGACCAGTCCGACCCAAGAGATGTGAATTGAAAAGATGACCGGCAGATGGGGAAATTTCAAAAACATGTCAGACCTTTGAGTGTAATTTAAAGCTCAAGCTGTATTTTGTTGACTTTTGTTGCGTAATTTATGCCAACAGCTCAATTGAGTTCTAACTTGGATGCATCTAAAAGCGGGGCTGGGTTTTCTCCATGTGCAAGATGGTAGTCACGTGGCAAACCTGGTGCCATAAACGATTCTAGCAACAAGAAATGACTGGGGCCCAAGGCCAGAAAAATCAATGATCCAATTTTTATTAGGAATGCACCCAATGATACACCCCAACTGGGGATTGTTTTTGATTGGGTTTACAACACTAAGCCACTTCTCTGTTTGCACGTGAGATATTTCTTAGATTGTGTGAGAGCTTCCGGTTTTTGTTGGAGTGAACATGCAATGTGAACAGTAACACAATGCACTTGGGTGGTGGGTGGGTAAGAATGGTACCCTCTCTCCGGCCATTTTGGCTCAAGAGAGAGAGGGCACCCGCCGACCTTTTACCCCAACTGCGTTAAGGCGGCGGGTGGGGGATGAGTTTGGTGGTACCCTCAGCCAATCTGATCTCCTACAGACTGTCTGTGGTTGAGGCTGAGGGTACGGGTGAACTCTTCACAGCGTTGGTAGCTGTGGTCCTAGGCAGTGTAGTGCTGACCCTGTGTCGTAAACAGGCGGCGAAGCATTCAGTGGTGTTGCTCCCGTCAGGTCTGAGGGTCAGCCATGGCTGATCCGACGGACGCAGAGAGGGGCACTATGACTGACTTGAAGTCAGTGATGGAATGGGCTGGACTAGATGTGACGGCCCCTGATGATGAGAACTCAGTGGCGGGATCACTGATGAAGCACCTGGGCGTGAAGTCCAATATGCAGCCGCGAGTCATTGGCATCTTTGGGGAGGCCGATCTAGAGACCATGCAGAACTCATGGAGGGTGCGAGATGCTGCGGGACCTACTCTTCCCACCTTAAGCGAAGCGGGCATGGCTAGGCTCTTCTTCACAGAGCGTGCCAATTGGTGGCAGGGACTGGAGAGACCTTGCAAGACTTGAGAGATAAGGCACAAGCGGCACGGGTGAACACGGCACCGGCTACAGCGCCATCTGCCCCAGCCACATCACCTGTGCGAAAGGTGAAACTTAGCTCAGTGATCTCACAGATTGACGCGGAGCTGATAGTCGCGGACGAGAAGGAGGTGCTGAAGTGCTACGCCCGGTACGAGGCAGTGTTCGGTCAAGGTGAGAGACCGGCCAAGGATTGCGAACCTACGGCCGAGCAGTTGACCGGGCTTCAACACCTGTGCAGCCAAGGAAGCTCACCCTATGCTGACTTCAGCATCTTTGTGCCATTCGGCCATCTGGTGAAGAGGATCAAACTCAGCGGCTTCTCAATTGAAAGAGACGGGTCGCTGAGGACAGTGGACTATATGGCCCGAGCAATTTGGGAGCTTGGCTTCAGAGCTACAACGTCCTGATGACCATCCTTGTCATGATTGATGGGGTGGACCTCGGAAACTTGCAGAGTTACAGGGCGCACATCGAAAGGCTGGCAGAAAGATATGGCCCCAAAGTCTGGTCAGTCATCTACCAAGGTGACGTGAGATGCAGGCTTGAACACATGGAGAGGCTGAAGCGGACCCTGAAGTCAGACCATGACAAAGCTGTGGCTGCTGGGGGTGGAATCTGTTGTGGGCACGTGCTACATCAGATGAGACCTTCTGGCGTGAGGAGGTGGTGGAGCCATGCATGCCCATCATCACCCGGATTTCAAGTCCTGCAGAGATGGTCGAAGGTGATGCAAAAGTAGCCAACCAGCCCTCTGGCAGCCATCAGCGGGAGACCGCGCCAACGCCAGCGAGGATGACGTCTGCGTCAGACAAGCCTGCAGTTCGTCCGAGAAACAGCAACAGGACGGGCAGGGTGCACAACATAGAAAATGGCAAGTATACCCACAACAGAACCGGGTACTCCATTTGTGGAGGATACAACAGTGGACAGTGTGCAGAAAGCACCCAAGGAGTCTGGTGTCGTCACAACTGCGACACCGTGCACCAGTGTGATCGGTGCTTGGGCCACCATCCAAGCGCCAGATGCCCTCATGCAGAACTTCAGGCACCGACGTTCGTGAAGAACGCCAAGGGTGGAAAAGGCAGAGGAAGATCCGGACGAGGTGGTGGAAAGGGCAAACGCCCTGCATACTGACCACAGGCGGATACATGCATGCCTGCGGCTGTGACCTCAGTGGCAGAGAATTCAGTGGAGGCTCCCAGGACTACAGAATCTGGAAGCATCCGCGTCTTGTATCTTTACAGCGGTCCGCACAGACCTATTGATGGCCTGGCAAAGTTTCTGCGTGAGTTGGGGGCGGAATGTGTCTGTGTGGACAAGGAATTCGACAATGGTCATGATCTCCTGGATCAACACTTCTGGGAGGAGTGCCGTGGCGATTGTGATGAATTCGACAGCTTCTTGGTCTCACCACCGTGCAGCACGTTTACACCTGCAAGAAGAGGTGATGGAGGGCCACAACCACTTAGAGGAGTGGAAGGAGCCGAAGTCTACGGCTTGAAGGGCTTTAGACCAAATGAGAAGAAACAAGTCTCCGAGGGCAATGTTCTAGCGATACGGGCAGAGAACACTGCAACCTATGCCCACGTCAATGGAAGGTGGTGGATCATTGAACAGCCCCATGGAAGGCCTGGCAAAACCTCAATGTGGAACCTGGATGAATTCAAGCAGCTCAGGGAGAAGGAGGACGTCTATCTCTACACCTTTGACCAGTGCAGATTTGGCTGCCTGGCGGAGAAAAGGACCGACCTCTCATCAAACATCCCTGGTTTAGAGGAGTTCACAGTCTTATGCAACCATGAAATCCAGAGGTGGGTCATCCCATGGAGTGGAGAAGTCATTGTTGCACCACATCCTCCACTTAGGGGCAAGCAGTGGGCGGTGCTCGAATCAGATTGGAGCCCGTCGATGTTACGAGAGGCAGAACCACCTGGGGATTACATCACCAGGTCTTGCGCTGCCTATCCAAAGGAGCTCAATGCAGCGCTAGCAAAGGCGTTGCTGAGGAGGAGAAGGCCCACAGAGCCACCAGAGCAACGGACAATGCGACCGTCGACGGAAACCACTGACACCGTGAAAGTTCAGAAGCTGATCCCACTCAGAGGGGCAGAGAAGGTGGCAACGTCAGATGATAGCAGCGACAGCCTCAGAGACGTCCACAGGTGGGTAACTGACAAAGCCCGGTTCATTGGCATCCAGGTGCGCAACATTGTGTTTCAGTTGTTTGATCAGCAGCCCGAGGTGGAAGCTGACATTCTGGAATCCTTAGGCAAGAGATCAAACGAGGACATCATCAACACCACCTGGATGCACGGGCTGCGCAACAGAGTTCTTGACCTCTTGTCAAGAAATCGTGCACCTGGCATGGAACCCGCATGCGATGTGGGTGAAGTAGATGAAGAAGGCTACAGGATGTGCATACGAGGGAGGCTGTTGGAGTACTGGGCACGAGTTGTGTCAGATCCTGGAAAGGAATGCGCAAAGAGGACATACAAAGGGGCACCAGCAGGATTGGAGGTAGACACCAAGGACCTTGATGGCGTGTTTCCGCAAGTCACGGCGGATGGTGATGAGGCACCGTGGGAATCCATGACCACGGAATTTGACAGCTTCCAAAACTACATGGGCATCGAAGAGGATGATGAGGCCTATGAGACCTTGGCTTTTGATTGGGTTTAGTTTCATTTCTCAGTTGCTGGTTTATCATCTCTGCGCCGCTTGCTTCTCCCTGCAGGTTCGCCTTGATAACAGGTGCTTTTCTACTGATTCATTGCAAACAGATGTGAGCAGTCGGTTGCGGTCGTAACTCTGTCTGCAGAAGGCTTGTGCTTCTTTTGCCTTGCCAATTTGGTTGTACTTGTTGTCGATTCGCTGCCAGGTGAAGACAGGTCGCAACGTCAAGTGGTTCGACGCGCCGTGTGAAGAACCGGTCCCTACAGGGAGCCGAGCTTTATTGGCGATTTGAGTGGGAATTTCCATCACAAAATGAGAGAACCAGTGTGATCTACGACATCATGGTACTGAGTTTTTTTTGGCAATTGCGTATGGGTTTGCCATGGATTTTTCCATGGGTGTTGCATTTCCGGCCTAAATGTCGGCGCTTTTTGCTTTTTGTCATTGCCCTGTCCCTTGTTCCCTGTCTTTCCGTGTAAGATGGCGCTGGCAGGGAGCAAGGCCGCTGAGACCGAGGAAATGCCCCCCAAAGCAGGTGGCTGCCAGCCTCGTCATGGGCATGGCAGAATTGGTCGGAGAGATTACGGGCCAGCAGGTCTAGCCATGACCACCAGCGCTCGCGAGTGGAGAGCGGCGCGCGAGGAGGATATCAGGAGGGCTTACGCCGACAAAGAATGTTGGAATGACTTGGACCGCATTACCTGTCAGCACCCTTACAATTTCAATGCCATAGAACAGTGGCCGTTGGACGCTGCCGTGATCTGCAAACCTACGGATCGAGCGTCGGTGTTGCTTGGAAGCATCAAAGCGGCGTGTAGCTTGGAAGACGTTTTGAAGACTCTGTTGGTGAAGGTCACCGTGGTCGTGACCATGTGCGCAAATGAAATGGAGATTCGAGGCGCCCCGAAGGATTGGGCGCGGTATTTCCAGCAAGAAAAAGTCTTTCACATCAAGTGTCAGTTGGAGGACGCGACATTGAAGCCGCCGCACCGTTGGGAGGAACGAATCCCTGACTTGGTAGCTTCTTGTTTGGAACAGTGGAAAATTGTCTGTGGCCAACTCTGGAAACAATCCATGCTGGCAGTGACCAGGGGTGAAGCCATGCACGTGCTCTTCCATTGCTTTGGAGGCATCAATCGAAGCGCTGGGGTTTTATGTGCTTGGCTCGTCGTGGGTTACAACTACTCTGCAGAGGATGCCGTCGAGTTGCTGCTTGAGAAAAGACCTTCCTTGCGCCCTTGGCACAATCGCCCCTATGTCTTGGAGGCTTTGTGGAAACTGGAAGGTTTGCGTACCGAGTGGCACATGGAATTCACTGCGGGGGACGGAAACTAATTCGCACCACTGTTCGTCTGTTGAAACTGTTCGTGGCGAACCTGCAAGATCAGTAGCCAACTGCTGTTTGTCTGTAAAGACTGTTTGTGACGAACATGTGAACGCATTAAGTGCGATCAGCAGTTCAAAAGTTGAAAAGTGTTGTCTGCGTGTGTGTGTGTGTGATCCAACTCGATGACAGACGATCTCATCTTGGTACGAGTGAACAACTATGCATGATCGTGCAATCTGAAATTTCCGAGGTGGCTCTTGCGCCGGTTTGGTACCGGCCTGGGTTTTTGATGGATGTTTTTGGTCTTGCAGTAAATCAAATTACTGGAATGTGTCCAGCGCTGTGCTATGCACTAAGGTTGGCACTTCTGAGCCACGACGTTTCACTGCGATTTCAAAGCATCATTTCGTGTTGGTATTTGTTGTAAAAGCGTCGGCGTGTAAAAGCGCCTGTGTGTAACGGGTTTTGTGTGTAAGAGCGTCTGTGTGTACAAGCGTCTGTGTGTAAAAGCTTCTGTGTGGAAAAGCGTCTGTGTGTAAAAGCTTTTGTGTGTAAATGTGTCTGTGTGTGAAGGGGTCTGCGTGTAAAAGCGTCTGTGTGTAAAAGCTTCTGTGTGTAAAAGCTTTTATGTGTAAAAGCGTCTGTGTGTATATAAAAGCTTTTGTGTGTAAATGTGTCTGTGTGTAAAAGGGTCTGTGTGTAAAAGCTTCTGGGTGGAAAAGCGTCTGTGTGTAAAAACTTCTGTGTGTAAAAGTGTCTGTGTGTAAAAGGGTCTGTGTGCAAAAGTGTCTGTGTGTAAAAGTGTCTGTGTGTAAAAGCTTCTGTGCGTGTAAAAGCATCTGTGTGTAAAAGTGTGTGTGTGTGTAAAAGTGTCTGTGCGTAAAAGCTTCTGTGCGTGTAAAAGCGTCTGTGTGTAAAAGTGTCTGTTTGTCAAAGCTTCTGTGTATAAAAGCTTCTGTGTGTAAAAGCGTCTGTGTATAAAAGCGTCTCGTTTCTGGACATCCACGGCATGATGGTACCGAGCTTTTTCGGCAATGTGTGTGTGTGTGGGAATTACCATAGTAAAATGAGATAACACATGTCATTCGCAGCATCATGGTACTCTCTCTCTCTCTCTCTCTCTCTCCCCCTTTCTCTCTATCTATGTCTCTCTGTGGTTGCAAGACACGTGTCATCTGATGCCCTTTACCAAGCAGCACAATGCATATGCATGGGTTGTCACAAGTATCCTCTTCTTAATCAATCTTACTTTTCACACATTATCCCTCAATAGCTCATATAAAATTCACCAACCATTCACCGACTATTTTTTACGACTACCTTACTCAGAGCTGCTTGAAAAACGTCTTTTTCGCTCTCGGGCCATCCGTCGTCTAGTGTTTAATACATTTCTCACCTCAGAAGAGGTCTTCGTTGCAAGATGTTGCAAGGCGTCCAGCGGATATTGATAACGTACCAAGCGCTGTGTTCGTTGGGGATTCTGTTTGTGTTCTGCAAAAGTCATGCTTTGGGCGGCGATTTTGTTGAGCTTCCGAAGACACTTCCATCTTCCATTGCTGTCTCTTCCCTGGTCAAGCTAAATCAAGCTGACACTCGGTGCCTGTGGCCTCGCCTTGAGGTATGATCTTGCTGCCTAGTGAGGCATTCCGGATCACTAACATGATCAATATGCGTCATAAAATTCAAGATGTGGAATGATTAGAATATCCGGATCCGGACACATCCAGGCACTGTATTCTTAGCAGAGGGTTGGATCGATGCAAGGCTAAGTGTCCTACCTTGCAAAACCGGATTTCACTCAATGCCTTTTGCATGTGGTGCTGCTGTGAAGAAAGGTTTGAGCTCCTGCTTTCGCTTCGGTTTCGGATGGAAACATATCTCATCACAAAAGTGTGGGACTGAATTGGATCTCAAGCAGAGGAAAAGGATAGGACTGCAACGAATTCAGAAAATCCATCTGCATCCCTTGACACCTTTCTACTGTTTACTGTTTACAATGTTCACAGTAACACCATATGTGACACCATTCTTTCAAAGCCTTGGGCTCAAGCTGCCTGAGCATCCACGTATCCGGTATTAGTACATGCTGTTCGACAGGCGACCATCAATGTGATGGCATGAGACACAGTGTAAACTTTGGAGTGCGGAGTGTGTAAAGTGTAGAGTGTGGTGGGGTGTGGAGTGCGGAGTGTAGTGTGTGGAGTGTGGAGTGTGGAGTGTGGAGTGTAAAGTGTAGAGTGTGGAGTGTGGAGTGTAGACTGTGGAGTGTGGAGTGTGGAGTGTAAAGCGTAGAGTGTAAAGTGTAGAGTGTAAAGTGTGGAGTGTAAAGTGTGGAGTGTATGGTGGGGAGTGTCGTGTGTAGAGTGTGAAGTGAGGAGTGTGGAGTGTGGAGTGTACAGTGTAAAGTGTGGAGTGTAAAGTGTAAAGTGTGGAGTGTAAAGCGTAGAGTGTAAAGTGTAGAGTGTAAAGTGTGGAGTGTAAAGTGTGAAGTGTAAGGTGGGGAGTGTCGTGTCTAGAGTGTGAAGTGAGGAGTGTGGAGTGTACAGTGTAAAGTGTGGAGTGTAAAGTGTAAAGTGTGGAGTGTAAAGCGTAGAGTGTAAAGCGTAGAGTGTAAAGTGTGGAGTGTAAGGTGGGGAGTGTCGTGTGTAGAGTGTGAAGTGAGGAGTGTGGAGTGTACAGTGTAAAGTGTGGAGTGTAAAGTGTAAAGTGTGGAGTGTAAAGTGTAAAGTGTGGAATGTAGAGTGTTCTGTGTAAAATGTGGAATGTAAAGTGTAGAGTGTGGAGTGAGGAGTGTGTAGTGTGGCGTGTACAGTGTAAAGTGTGGAGTGTAACGTGTAAAGTGTGGAATCATCTGTTCTTATTGTGTGTCTCTTTGTGAGTTAGTTGTCTCTTTGTGAACTGGTGATCAGGTGCCTTCGCTGAGACGATATGAGCGCACGATGGATGAAAAAAAGGTTCGTTTTCCTATTGCAGAGGTTTTCACTCGTAGTCCAAGAACGTGAATAGATTAGGGTTCGTGGCTTCCTTCTCGTTTCAATCCAGTCAAATCAGCTTAATTTCTTTAGCGCAGTCTAAATGTATCTCTTTCAGCCCAAAGCCTGTTGTAGTTTAATCTATACATGTTGGCTTTATTCAATTTAGGGTCTCATGCCTCAAAATTTCATCTGGGCATATCTAGGCCACCTTCTATTTACCGTCATGGATCACCTCATTGTATGTCTTTTCTAACCTAACCAAGCCGGATGAAACATTCGATTGCTCAAAGCTCCAAACCTAATTTACATCTGACCTGTTCACGTCTTGCATCTAATCGCATGTGCTATACACAAATATACGCTAAAGAATATCTAGTCCAGCCTGATCTATCTGATAAAACATGTCGATCTGACCTGATCAAACCCCATCAACTCCAATCTCATCTAACCTGATGCAATCTAGCCTGCACGAATCTAATCCGACCTCTGTTCTATCTAGTGTTTCACCTACTTCAACCGAAGCAATTTTTCCATCTAATTCAGTTTGGTCCGGTCCAATGTAATTCAACTTCACAAATCCAACCTGGTTTCATGTAGCCTAATCAAAATTCATCCCATCTGATATGGCATATCTAAATCTATCTACGTTCATTACATATCTAATCCAGATTAGTCTAGTCTAACTTAACCTAACTAACATTCTA